CGCCCAGCTCCTCCGTCCCCTTCCCCGTCGGCGGGGGCTCCCGCAAAGTTCCCGACTTCCGCTGGGCTCCCACCCCGTTGACCGTTTCAGATGGAAACCCATTGGCAGAGGGGAGGGGGTGGGGGGTTGCAGATGCCATAGGATCCACGCACGGTCCGGGCTTGAATCGGGCTCCTGGTAGAGACGAGGTGGGGTCCTCCCCACCCCCACCCCAGGCGCTGAGCAGGAAGCCGGCTAAGGGGGCATTCTTCGGGGCGAGAAGTCCTGGGGGCGATGTCAAGTCACTACACCCCCTAAGCTTAGCTTCCAGCGGTAGACCTCTGGCCCCTCCGGGAGCAGCAACGGGGTCTTAACCGTGTGTGGAGTCCAGGAGGTCAGCACGGGGCCCGGCCCCCAGTGGATACTCCATAAATACATCATAACGCAGGCTAACATTTTTCGAACATTTTATTTCGTGCCGGGTTTGGTCGCACAGTTAACTCGTTGAATCTTTACAGCAGCCCCTATGGGGGGTGGGGGGAGACAATGGTTATCCCAATATCACAGGTGAGGAAAATATCACAGAGTAAGTCCCCCCACGCACGGTCAGTTCCGCGGGATTCTCTGGGGGCCCCCCTCAATTCCTGGGCCGAAGGGAACTAGATTGGACTTGCCAGGCGCTCTGGCACAGTGAACTGGGAGCAGGCGAGATGCCACATTGCAAGCGCTCTCTATTCCCTTCTCCAAGGACGGGACCACTTCCTTATTTTTCAAGAAATAGTGTTGGCAGCTCTTGTTCGGATGTGCTCGGAAGCCTTGACCCCATTCGCCATTGTAAGTGCTTTCTGCCAGCAGACCCAAGCCAAACACTGAATGTGACTTCAGGGAAACAAGAGAAAAGGGCAGAGAGTTTAATACTTTACATCTGAATGCTGCTTTAGACTTTCCAGGATACTTTCACCCTACACGATTTTGCTTGGTCTTTACAACAAACCTGTGGGGTAGGCAGAACACAGTTTTAGCCACTGTTTCTGACGAATCTTTGCGGCTTAGTAGGGCTGGGAGATTTCTCTGATGTTGCCCAGGCGGCTAGGGGCATGCCCCCGACACCTGTCCTTTGTCCTCTCTGCCACCCCCGGCAGACTGTGGGAAAATAATATGGATTACAAGTATCCTTAGGATAATGTATAAAATAGAAGTCAGGCAAGGGAAAAAAAAAAATGGAGTCGGGCAAATACAGTCATAGGGAATAGTTTTAAACGCCCGACCGAACTTTGCTTTCGCTAAAGGTCTTGAGTGCATGACATATGTTTAACTAGTGGTAAGAATATTCCTTTTAGAGAATATCCTGAAAGTGTGTGGGGTCCCATCTGACCCGGGACCCAAATCCCTCAAATGGTCTTTGCATCTCTGGAAGGCAGGCTGCGTGATGGGTACAGATCGCTCACAAACGTTCAGTAGGAACGTGTTTCCCCAGCTCTTGGGCTCCTGGGTACCTTCCCAATGGAGACTGTGTGTCATAATCACATTACAAGCTGTAGCGCAAAGCCTGGCACATACATGTGATTAACAGATGCCATTTACCTCACTGATGGATGAGTGCCATGCTCGCTGTGTGGGGGGAGCGAGGAAAGGTGAAGGCACATGGGGGTCAGGAATCCAGGGACCTCACTTCCATTTCCCAGCTCAGCTGGGCCACGTTCACCTCCCTGTGCGACTGTACTTCCTCTCTGCGACGAAGGCGCCATATGCAATGGTCTGAGAGGCCTTTGCCGTCTGAAGTCTGTGCAACCACACTGACTGTGGACAATGGGGTGGGCTGTAGAACAGCTCCTCATCACATGTTTTGCAGAATGTGTCCAGGTGTAGACGCTGAGGTAGCTAAGTGTCCAAAGCATTAAAGATATACCTTGTTTATTTGGGGTTTTCTCTTTTATGCTTTATTTTACCTCGCTCAATGAATCCCGCCCCTGCCCCATTATCATTTCACAATGGCCTGGGCCAGCTCAGTGACATGGTGGGTAGGTAGACAGGCAGCTTTCCCCTGACAGATTCTCCTGACCGTGCCACATGGTTTTTCATTTTAAACTCAAACGCTATCATTTCACCTTTCTGATGACAGAAGATGCCACAAAGCCACTGTCCAAAAGCTCTTTATGAAGAGCCAGCCATATTGTCCCTTTCGTCAGAAATATTGTGTTCTGAGCGGTTGTGGAAAGGACGTAATCGGGCTTTAGAAGAGACACCCCAAACTACTGACTCTTAAAGGTGGAAGTGACCTTCAAGCTCATCTGGTCCAAGTGTTAAGTTTATATCGGGTCCAAATTCATTTCCCTAGCCAGCCACATCTGGTCCATTGACTGCTTGGGGCTTGGCCCTTCGTGATGTCAAATTCTACCTCGAAGAGCTGCCTGCTCTGTCCTATTCACTTTGTTTCTGAACCTACTCCAGTCTCTCTCTCTCTCCAGACCTGTTGCAGCTTTGCAGTGACCGTGGCTTCAGGGCCTCCACTCCTTCCTGTGGCCATAAAATACCCGTTGACGCGGCCTGATTTGGCGTGAGCCTTTTCAGTGGCCGCCGTTGACTCAGACCGCGTACGTTATTAACAAAACCTCCTCAGTCCTCTTCCACGCAAGCTGCTGGTAGGCCACATCTCCCCCGAACTGCAAATTGTACGATTGGTGTTTGGCCCCAAGTGTGGAAACTTAACATTTATCCCCGTTGAGAGATAGGCAGCTGTTCCAAACATCAGGAATCTTGCAACTTCAAGCAGATTCCAAGAGATCCAGGGACTGTGTCTTAAGCCTAGTACTTTGCTTTGAGCGGGGGAAATGCAGGGCCCTGGCCGGTCTGGTCTGGAAGCTGCCGTCGTTGGAGGAAGGCGCACCACGGGCAACGAATAAAAAGCAACAGTGAATAAGGGGCCCCAAGAGGGTGCACAGGACCCCTGTAACCTGGGGGTGCTTCATGGAGGAGGTGCCCCTGGGCCTGTCCCAATTCTCTGCCCTCACCTGTCCTCAGCCAAGTAGCAACGTGTAGAAGATGGGGTGAGACAGGCAGACTGACCGTGGAGCTCCCCTTCCTTCGGCCGGAAACACAGAAGCACCACCCCCAGACTCATGAACCGCTGGTGGCTGGGGTTTGGGGAGAGGAGTGAGGACAGGGGAGGCGGGGGCTACCTCGCGGCGCAGTGGGAGGGAGACAGCGCGGGAGGAAGGACGTCCTGGTGCAGAGTGGAGATGACAGGAACACGTTTTTTTACTTTCCTTTTCTTGCTCTCATTCCTGTGTCTTATTAAGGGAAACACAAAGGGAAAATTGTGTTATTTGTTAAAAAATGTCAAAGTGTGTTTCCAGCGAGAGGAAGAAAAGCAGACACATTGCTGCCTAGACAGAGAAGGCCGTCTTCTGGGGGGGGGGGGGGGGGCCCACGCACGGCCGGTGGGGGGGCACTGGGGCTGCGAACTCTGCTGACCCCTGGACTCTTTCCCCAGGACTCCCCCTGGTCCCGCACTCACGTTCAGGAACCGGGGTACCGGGTGCCTCGGAACTTTCTGGGGCGGAGGCCATCCCAAACCAGCTGCTGGAATGGGAGGGGAGTCAGCTAACAAAGGCACCATTTACGGCCCCGCATTCTTTGGATCTTGTCTAGAATCCTTTACGTGGCCCAGTCCATCTCCCTGTTGGACTGTGTGGTCCTTCAGAGAAGGACCCAGGTCAGACTCATCTGTGTTTCTCCTGTGCCCAGCACCATGCATTCCATGAGCCAAAGCCCCAGCGAATGTTTGTTGACTAAACAGAGAGTGCTCTTAAGTTTTAGTCCACCCCATGGCATAACTGGGTGTGCTAGAAAGAACATGCCTGGCTTGAGAAACACCAAGGTGTGAGTTCAAATCCCAGCTGTGACATTTGTTTCTTTTTTTTTTTTTTAAGCTTATTTATTTTGAGAGGGGGAGAGGGAGGGAGAAAGCAAGCGCAAGTAGGGGAGGGGCAGAGAGAGAGGGAGAGAGAGAGAAAATCCCAAGCAGGCTCCGAGCTGTCAGCGCAGAGCCGGATATGGGGCTCGAACCCATGAACCGTGAAATCATGACCTGAACTGAAACCGGGGATGCTTCACCAACAGCCACCCTGGCGCCCCCTAGCTGCGACATTTGTAAACTGTTAAAGCTTAGGTCCGTCAACTCCTCCCTGTTCCAGTGTCTTTACCTGTACAAGGAAAAGAATAATATTCTTCAAGAGTTAATAGAAGGGACGGATACGAAACACCTAATAATCTGTGTGGTTTACTTAATGTTCAAATATCCTTTACGGCCCCAGCCAGCCTCCCCATGAACGAGCAGGTATAGTTCCTCAAGGAAAATCGTCCGGACTTTGCCGTCATCTCATGAGCTAACAGGAGTCAGGCCAGCATTCGGACGGAGTTCACATGTCTAGCGATGGCACCTGTCACTAGACAGAGTAGTTGAGGGTCTCGGTGCCCCGGATAGGCTGTGCCCTGTGACTGGGAGGGTGGCATTGCTGAGCAGTGAGAAGATGGGGCCCTGGGGTCTCACAGACCTGGGACTGATCAGTGACTCCACCACTTATGATGACCTTGGGTACGTCCCGCCATCCCTTCAAGCCTCGGTTTCCTCATTTAATGAATCAAGGGAATAACTGGGGGCGGCATTTGTGCATGTTAAGTGAAATAACACGACATACCTAGTATGGGAACAGGCACCCAGTAGGAGGTCTAGGAGCTGTTATCACCATCCTTGTCACCGCCAACCTCACCATCAGACAACAGGCACCTGTAGAGCCACGTTGTACTTTGCTGTGTGGCCCCAGGACCTCGCATTTGGGCACAAGTGTCCAGAGAACGTGCCTTGAATTAAACAGAGCTGAACTGAATCGAAGACCACCTTTGGCGCTGAGTGAGGTTCAGGGGGAATCTGGCTCGTGATTCAACCTCCAACCTGAGGAGGGATGTCTCTCGGAAAAAAACCCCACGTGCTCGGTAACAAGTCCCCAGATGGCAGGCTTCCTGCACAAGCTTCTCACCTGTGGGCCCTGACAAGCCCCATCTTTGACATCTACATGTGATACTTCGCACCGAATACCGGGAGCCTGGCAACAATGGGAAGGGGGAGCGGTCACGGTCACGAGGAGTGAACTCCCCGGGCACCAGCACGGAGAGAGATCTGGAAGACGTGAGGTCTGCTGAAATCCTGAGCCTGCTTCACTGACTCCTATGCCCACCACACCGCAGTTGCTATGTAGTGAATGTGTCAGTGGATTTAGGCAGAAGCCCCTGAACACAACGTCTGGTGGAGCCCTTGGAGGCCTGGCTACAGCTCTCTGCAGCACTGGGGCACCCAGTGCTGGGGTTCAGCGGCTCAGAACGTGGCCCACGGGCAGACACCTCACAGCACAGAGAGCCGCCTCTCTGCTGAGCAGGTGCAGAGACGGCTTCTACCAACCCAGTAGCAAAGACCCCAGCTACTTCCGGGCGTTTTCGGGAAGGAAGGGGCCTCATGTGCGTCTCCGCCCACCAAGTACATTAAACCAGAGTGACTGCTGAGAGGACAGCCCTCGTCCCTACCCCACACTCCCATCTCTGCCAATGGCTAGGCCACGTTTATCAAATGCCAATTTATTTATGTAATATGCCCAACCTAGTTTCTAAAAAGGATTTGAGGTGACATAAGAGTATTATCAGTATTGTAATAGGGTTTTTCTTTTAATTTTTTTAGTGTTTATTCTTAAGAGAGAGAGAGAGAGAGAAAGAGAGACAGTGTGCAAGTGGGGGAGGGGCAGAGAGAGAGAGGGAGACACAGAGTTAGAAGCAGGCTCCAGGCTCTGAGCTGTCAGCACAGAGCCTGACATGGGACTTGAACCCACAAACCGTGAGATCGTGACCTGAGCCGAAGTCAGACGCTTAACCGACTGAGCCACCCAGGTGCCCTGTAATATGTTTTTTTTTTTTTAATTAAAATTATACACTGGGAACAGAAGAGGAAATCATCCCCCAAAATAACTTGGGGACAATATTTTAATTGTGATAGAATGTTAAGTGTCACCCCGGGTTTACAAGAGGAGACAGAAGAGCAAGGCCCTACAAGATCGCTATGATCACATCAAACTTTGTGTCAGTTACATTGACATGACCAGCTGGCCTGTGGAGAGACCCCACAACAAAAGAACAAACATCGAATCCATGAAGGCAGAGATCAAATCGGAGAGCTCGTTAACAGCGTTGGAACAGTTTTACTTTTATATACTGACTGTATTTCTCCTCTTCCGAAAATAATTTCAGCTCACATAAAACTAAAGAGAGATTCAACAAACTCCAAAATCAGGAGGAGAGGAAACAGAGATGAAGATGTGCTAACTGTAAGAATGAATAGTGGCCTCCTGGGGGCAGAAATTATGTGTATTGCCTTGCTCCCCGTAGTTGGATCTAACATAGCTCTGAATACCTACTTGGCACCTGTTATGTGTGAATTTTTGAATAAGCCAATGAATACTGTGATTGGGAGTGAAATTTGCCTTTTGGGCTTCCTAGTAGCCAGAGCAAAAAGGGATACCGCCACCCCACAGATATTTTTGCACGAGTGCTGGCGTTGCAACCGTGGCTTTGTCTGAGGAAGCAAAAGAGAAAGTGTATCCTTAGTCCTCATAGCTCTAGATGCCTTTGCCCAAGTGCATACACGGTGAACCTTTCCACCCCCATCCCCAGCACAGTGTCCTGCACAAAATGAATCCATTAATGAGATCAGGAAAAAAAAAAAAAATTCTTCGATGCATCTAAAGTATAATCATTCCCACCTTTCTTATCCCGTACATGATTTATCTACCACCCTCTTTACACCTTGAATAATGGAGGGGGGGGGGGAAAAAAAACTTGTCAGGAGGCTTTTGAAAGTGATGGCGTTCCAGGCAGATTGCAGGGCTTGGGTGAAAGCATGAACGGCGAAAAGCTGGACGATCTCTACGAACGTAGGGAAGTAGGCCAGCCGGGAGGTTTGAACACTGGACCTCAGAGCTTATCACTCTGTAGGCCACTGGCCGCCTTTGAACGTTTTGGACGAGAGTAAAATAATCAGGAATATGGTCTGAGTTGACAAGATGGTCTGGTAGCAGCGGGGCTGATAATTCAAAAGGAGAAAGAGGCAGTAGAACAGATAGACTTTATCACTCTAGTATAAGCAAGAAATCCAGGGCCTGGACCAGGGCAGGGACAGCAGAAATGACATCGAAGGGGATGAATGTGAACGTCCTCTCAGAAATCGAGTCAACAAAGTTCCACATTGTGAGGTGAGGACAACGGAAGGAGGAGAGGAATCAAAGAAGCTTGGGGGAATGGTGGCCCCGGAACAGAAGAGGGAACAGCAGCAGGATGGGGTACCAGAAGCTTGGTGGCTTTTCACAGTGTTTTCACATTCATTATCTCACTGATTTCATCTGCAAGTAGAGAGATCCGCCCTGAACATCAGCCTGAAAAATACTCTGCCCCAGCCCTGGAGCTGCCAAGTTTCAGTGACTAAATCTTTGCCTCGGATCCTGCCGGTGACAGCAGGGCACCCGCTTGAGGTGTCTTGCCCGTTCCGGGCAGCGTGGAGTCCTCGCAAGGACTGAGCCATCCTGTCCTGGTTCTGTGCCAGCAGCAGCTAAGAGCCAGGTAGCGAAGCACTCCGGCCTGCGACGCTTGCCAGGAACTTGATGGGTGTGCCCCAGTGGGTGTGCCCCAGGGTTCAGCCAGAGTCTCCCGGAACATCTGGGCAGGGCGGGGAGGCAGGAACACATCCATCAGTTTCATTAGCGACTCATCTTTCTTCCCACTGGGTAGCGGGCTTTGGCTTCGCCACTGACTCACTCCCAGGCCCAGGCAGTGGCTTCTCCCCCGGACAACAGGGCAGAGCACGGCTCACCTCCTGGAGGCAGGACCTCCAGGAGAGGCCTCCGCGTGTACCTGGCTGAGCCTCAGGGGGGGTGGGTCCACCGATTTCATAAAGAGAACAAACACTGATCTAGTTGCTAAAACGTCAGCCCTGCGAGGGACTCTGGGCACGCCTAGTCCAGCCCCCATTTGCCAGCCAAGGTGCCTCCAGCCTGTAGCCTCCACTGTCCCCATGCCGTCCTTGCCGTGAGTCCTCTGAGGGACCCCTCTTCCCCATCCGCACGCACCGTCCCCAACTGACTTTCCAGGCCTCATCTCCCCCACTCCCTTCCTCTTCTCTGTCCTCGCCCACTCAACACCACACACGACCCCTGCCCCTAGAAGTCACCCTGACCTTGCCCAGATCCTGCAGGCGCGCCCCTGTGCTGGGGCACAGACTGTGTCCTCAGCCAGGAGTCCCCTTCCCTTCCTCCTCTGGCCCGTTGAATACCTACCTCTTCTGCTCCTAGACAGGTAATTAGCACTTCCTCTGGGTCCCTTCACGGGCTGTTTAGCATTTATCACTTGATATCACCAGTTTTTCTTTCGATGCCTGCCTCCTTCACTGGAAACACACACATCTGTGTCTTATGGAGCCTTGTGTCCTCAAAGGCTGGCAGAGCTGGGTCCTGCTGACAGGTGGGGAGGGAAGAAGGAAAAGGCAGATGCTGCTAAGGCTCACAATCCAGGGAACAAGGACAGGTGCAGTCAGGTGTCTCCCCCCACCCTCCAATTCTCCCCAACATCTACTAGGTATTCAGCCCTTGCTTTCCTTCCAGAACCTCCTTCCGTACATCAAGGAAAACACAACTGTAGATCCACTCCCCACTTTGTAACCCAAAAGGTAACACTGCTCTAAACTTTTTTTTCCCACAAAGCCCTTTAAAACCCTTCCGAGTTTCTCATATGTATCCTGTCTCCATTTGAGTCTCCAACTGAAATACCCAAGAGACAAAAGAAACCACACATTGAATGTAAGTTAAAGCACACCGCCCCTTGCTTTTTCAAAAGACTGAGTTCCGGGGGAAGCCATGTAAGAATCACATTGTCATTAAACCCATCATATTTTCAGCGCATTGAGGGAGGGGTGTTGCTTAAAGATATCTGGAGTGATTCCTCTTATCAGTGATGGAATGATCAGTGAATGGTACACTACTGTTCAAACTATGTATTAGGTTCAGATCAACACCCCAGTTTGTCGGAACCCAGCACCACGCACGTAAGCGAGAACAAGTTTCCCCATCTCGCTAGAAAAAGAGGTAGCGTTTACAGCCAGAGTTTCTCCCACAGAAGCCCCCTCAAACCTGGCTGGCCCCACGGCCTGTGGGATCCCAGGGGCCGGATCCTGCAGGTACACGGGTACTTTCCGGGAATTGTAATAAGGTGAGCAGAGGCCGCTTCAATGATTTGAGCTCACAATGGCACCATCTAAGGACCTAAACTGTTGAAGGCTGTATATCAAGGGTCAATCAGTTTTAGCCACAGGCCCAGTCCAACCCACTGCCTGTTTTTGGAAGGCTTGCAACCTAAGAATGATTTTTGCATTTTTAAACGATCTCATAAAATCAAAAGGAGAATAACATTTCACGAGAGGCGACGGTCATGTGAAATTTAAATGTCAGTGTCACTAATAAAGTTGTATCTGAACACAGTCTGCTCTTCTGTTGCGTTACCATCCACGGCCACGATGGCAGAGTGGATCATTGAGACAGAGACAGTATGGTTGCAAACCTCAAGGGTCTACTCTCTGGGTCCCTTACAGAAAAAGTCTGTCCCCAGCCCTGCTTGAAAGGACACGGCAAGACCCAGAGCAGATGCTAGATGAGATGGGCTTGTCTTTTAGGGTGTTGGGGTGTCTATAGCTGGCCAGGGAGGCCATGAGGTTCTTTTGAGCAGTGGATCAGATCAGATTGAAAGTGGTTGAGACTTCCATCCCTTTTGAAGAAAGGCGTCATCATCATCATGAACCAGTGCTGACAGCTCCCTCATGGACATCAGAGGATCAAACTGACTTTTCCTAGCCAATTCCCATGTCATTCCTGGAGTTCCAGGTGAAGTCCAGCCAACTGCAAGGTCACATTACCCTCCTGCAGAACCGCAGGTGTCCACAAGGGGGCGGCAGCTCTCCTGTTTGCAGTTAGTCTGATGGCCTTCCCAAGTTAGGGGAGCAGCCCCAGAGACGTCTGTGCCTCGCCAGCCTCCACAGAACCTTCTCTCTAGACCGGTAGTCAAGAATGGGGCCTTCTTACCATGCAGGAACCACATAAGCCTCCCCAGGCAGCCAGTCTGACATCTTGGGGGTTGATCATCAAACCTATTAGTCTTGAATATCAGCAATAAAAAACAAAGAAAGAAAGAAAACAAAAAAATTGGTTGGGTGTCTCTCACTTGTCCTTGTCTGCTCCTGACTCTCTCTGCTATTCCAGTCAAGCACTCTGTGCCAGATTTTAGCCTATGGTCTCTCAGCTCTCAAATCGCCCTTGCGATGCTGGGGCTAGGGTTTCACGCACCGAAGTTGTGTTTTTTTCCAGATGATTCCATGTGAGGCTCTGCTAGGTGAAGATGGTGGAAGAAGGGATTTACCTCCTGCAAGTTTGCCTCATTGGGCTCCCCCTCTGTCTGTGGCTCTGACGGAGGCCCCGGCAATGTTTCCTCACCCTGGTTAATAGCAGTCCCTTCCCCCGATAGCAAGTGCAGCCCACCCACGTCCTCCCCAACACCACACAGCAATCTTCCCAGTGTCCGCTTCAGAGACACTAACACCAGCTGGTCGTGTCCTATCCCCAGAGCTCTGAGCCCCAGGTCCACCAGGCCAATCCTCCAAGGTCCTAATTTTTATAAATTCCATCTTCCGCCCTTGGTCCCCCTAAGTCCTATGGGCGGTAGGGTCTCCTGTGACAGCTACTTTTATGTATTTATTTACCTATCAATTTATTTAATTTTATTTTGAGAGAACGCACACACATGCACAAGCAGAGGAGGGGCACAGAGAGAGGGAGAGAGAGGATCCCAAGCGGGCTCTGCACTGTCAGCACAGAGCCCGATGCAGGGCTCGATCTCACAAACGGTGAGATCATGACCTGAGTCAGAAACAAGTGTCCGAGGCTCAACCAACTGGGCCACCCAGGCGCCCCTTACTACGTTTATGAAAACCTAGTGTTCTCCTCCTGCCTTTTCAGCGACCTAATTGACAATGCTATGCCTGGTTAACTATTCTTCATGTTAGATTCTCACTGTTTAAGTAACTAGGGCAGCTTCTGTTCCCCAACTGGACTCTAACTGATACCCAACTTTTCTCAGGTCTAAAACTAACAAGAGATTCTTGGATTACGGATGCTCCTGGAGCCGACCTGGAAAATTAAGTCTACAAACGCCTCGTGCGCACGTACAGGTAAACACACTGGGCCACTCTGCACTTGTGCCTGCTGGGGGGGGTGGGGGGGGTGGGGGAGGCGGCCTCTCACCCAGTCCCTCAACCCCCTAGTCCAGACAAAGGAACCGGGAAAATGAAAGTACCCAGCGCCCCACCGTGGCCTGGTGAGAGAGAGCCGGACCCTTCGCAGATCTTCTCAATCGTGTCTGGTCTGGCAGAGAACAATCCTCAGACACAAATTCTTTCCAGACAGCAAGATGCCTGGGAAAAGAGAAGCCACGTGGAGCACAAGAGAAGGATGTTTAAAAATGCTTGAGGGCTCCCACTCAAGAAAGTCCACCCTGCGAAGAAAGGAGACGCCTTCATGTTGGGGGCTGATTGCGCAGCCGATGGGATCCAGTACAGATTATCTTCTAGTGGGAAAAACTCACCTTAAAAATTAAAGTGCCGGGGCGCCTGGGTGGCGCAGTCGGTTAAGCGTCCGACTTCAGCCAGGTCACGATCTCGCGGTCCGTGAGTTCGAGCCCCGCGTCAGGCTCTGGGCTGATGGCTCGGAGCCTGGAGCCTGTTTCCGATTCTGTGTCTCCCTCTCTCTCTGCCCCTCCCCCGTTCATGCTCTGTCTCTCTCTGTCTCAAAAATAAATAAACGTTGAAAAAAAATTAAAAAAAAAAAAAAATTAAAGTGCCTGGCGGCAGATTTGGACCCGTGCAGGGGGCAGAGCGGGACGAGAAGCGGGCGGGCACGTTGGAGGGAGAAAGAAGGTTGATGGTCCAACGTGTGTCTCTCTGCTCAACACGGAGCTGGACCCTGGGCGGACCAACAGCGCCTCTTCAGGACCCCCTGAATGACACAGAGTGCTGGCCAGGGCGTTTAGAAAACAGAACCTCGTCCCCGTCGTCACCGGGAAGCGCAGATTCGGCCCAGTTACTTTACTGGGATTCCCTTTAACAAAGTCTCTGCCCTCCTCTCCCAGAATGCCACGGACCCAGACCCGGCAGGACCCGGCCTTGCCGTGAACTCGGGCGCCCCCTGGTGGCCAGAGCCTGAAAGGCACGGGGGTCGTGTTCGCCGCCTCCAGGCCCACCTGCGTGCACAGCCGTGTTGGAGACTTACTTTACCTACATCTTTCTGAACTCTTTCCACATTCCTATGGGGCTAAGCCAAGGTCAGCACCCTCGTCCCCCTCTCTGATTTTTATATCCAGCTCTTTCTTCATGTGGCCGCTGCCCGGCTTGACCCGCCTCAGTCCCCTTTGAGTCGGAAGGCTGCCTGCTTAACCCAGTGAAGCCTTGGTTCCTCAAACTACCAGGCGTAGCTCTTGGCGGAAGTGACTGTGAGTATTGGAGGGGAGGGTGGGCCTGGGGAAGGGGGGGGGGGGGTCTCTTCCAACTCTCAGACCACCTGGGTGTAGAGGCCCGGAGGAAGAAAACCAGGCCTAGGAACGAGGGCACGGAAACGAACTACTTTGGACAGATCATTGCCGGCCACTCCTCCAGCTGACCTCAGGCTGCCGGATGCCAGGACCCCAGAAGCGAACTGGTCAACCGCGCTCACCTCTTCTGGGGACCGCAGACCAGAGTTCGGAAGACGTGTGTGTCTGAGCAAACACAATCCGTGTCTAGCAGACGTAGATACGGATTCCTGCTTTCAAGAATTCACTTCATTTCCTAATGAACTATAAGAACTCAGCTTCCTTGCTTTGGTCTCCTCCCCCCAAGAAACTTTGCGCGGGATGCAAATAGTTTCTGAGAACCTCTCTGCCCTTCCTCTGTCTACCCTCTTTTCCCTACCTGTCAACACCCAGGGTGCAAGCGTGAGGGGAGGTCAGATCAAGGCAGGGTGGGCATGGTCAGGACTGAAAGGGCAGGAATTACTAGGGGCGCATCTCCCAGCTCTCGTGCCAGGGTCCGCCGACACGGGGATCTCTTGGAAACCGGGAGGCACAGTCTCCTGAAGCCACCCGACTCCCCGGATGGCAAAGAGGAGGCCTGCACACCATCCCACCCGACCCCCCTCCCCCCACATACACTCGCTCCCATGGACGACACAACTAACTGATCACCGCGGTCAGCTGAGACGCCATTCCAATTCCTGCTCCACAGCGAGCTCCAAACAGCCACTTCAAATCAATCGGGTTTGACAAAGGAGATGAAACCTTCTTCTGGTCCTGCGTATTTTAAAACATAAACATAAATATGCGATTTATTGTCATCCGGAACATTCATTCTTCCCCAGCTGCTTAACTCCGACCTTGTAAGTATTTCATAGCCCTCCCCGCCTTTTGAAAATTTGAGCATCTTAGTCCCTTCAGTATGTTCTTGAACATGATCTCTCACCTCAGGGCCTTTGCACTTACTTTCCTTCTGCCCGTCTTGCTCATTTCCTGGACACCTTCCTGCCTCATGTCTCCAGTTCTTTAGGTTTCTGTTCAGTCACTGCTTTATCAGAGAAGGTGTCCCTGGCCCCTGTCTAGATAAACAAACACCCTCTGCTTCCAGCCTCGCTCGGCGTCTGCTGCCCTAGTTCTCCTTCCTAGCGTTTATCACCATCAGACTGATCACTCAGTTATTCGGGAGTTGATTTTTTTGTTTCCACTACCAGCATGTAAGGACCGTAGATCAGGGGCTGTTTTGCTTCTTGCTGTGTCTACAACGCCCAGAGGGAGCCATCAATAAACACTTGCTTCATGAATGAAGGGATGAGTCCATAAATAAACAAGTAAAGAATTTGCGACGGAAAACTTCTGAAAGGGAACCACCTGTCCTCTGCACAGAGAGGCTTGCAACAAAGACAAGGTGTCGAAAGTAGACAACCTCTGAAGAGGTGCTCCCCACGCAAAGCTCATAGGAGGAAGTTGATCGTAAATGGAAACACTCCTGTTCCCTTTTACTGATAGAAACACCAAGTTGGACAGTATATGCCAAGATACAGAGAATATCCCCTCCGCACATATAAAATGCCTCACCAACTCAGACTCATTGGAAATAAGGCAAAAGTGAACTACTGGAAAGTCCAGACTATTAAAGTTGTTAATGAAATACACTTTTATTATTTTCAAATCCGGGGGCACTTTCCTTATTCAACATTTGGACACTTAATAGCTCAATTGAATCTAATTCATCTCAACTGCCCCCCCCCAAAAGCCACAAACCCAGAAGTAATCAAAGAGTCCTTCAGGCATCAGCAGCAATGGGGCTAAGGCTGAAAATATCCAAAAATAGCCCAAAGCAGGAAATTTGCTGAGATTCAGTTATCCTGTGAACCAAAAGAAAGTGGGACTCCCATTGACTATCGATGCCTATAGAAGTGAAACTCTGCCAACATCCAAGTCAAGAAGAACGGGAGGAAACAGATAGAATAATAATCATGTCAAACAACATCAACAGCTAATATTTATTGAGCACTTACTACATGACAGGCCTGGTTCCAACTGCTGTACATGTATTACTTATCTAATCCGTACAACCACCGACTCAGGTAGGTATAATCATGTCCTCATTTCACAGATGAGGACACGGACACAGACAATACAATAACGAAGGGAAAAAAAAAAACAGAGAACAAGGAACCAAATTTTAGGCAGTTATGACCCTGGAGAGCAGAGGAGACCGAGTGGGAAGAGAAAGGAAAGACACCAACGACAGAGAGCTCAGAGCCGGGCGCTGGGTGCGGGCATGCCTCAGTAACTCAGGGCACCTCTGTCCTGTGGGACAGGTCGGTGATGAGTCTGTAGGTCAGCCCCGCTCCCATAAAACCTCCAGCGCGATTACCAAGGAGGGAGGGGACTCCATTTGAATCTTCATAAGCCAATTGCCCAGAAAAATCGCTGGTCTAGAATTTCTCATCTAGATGTATTGACAACTCACGTTATTGCAGAAGCTGCTTGGAATTTTTGAATCATCGGAACCAACACATGTTGTTTTCTGCAAATACCTTGGAGAGGCCTCCAACGTTACCTGTGCTCAAGGAGTTTAAGCAATCCCCGCAATAAATCTGTTCTCACCATCCACCTGCATTTTCTTTCCCTTTTTCCCTGTGGATGGGGTTTCACATTGGCACACTTGGGCGGGATCGCGGGTTCGGAATCAGGAGACCCCGTGCAGGTGCGTGCATTTCTCCCTCAAACCCCGGCCGTCCGCCATCCTCCAGTAGCTGATACCTGGTCTGCACCCGGGAACCACACGCACAAGTGAGTCCCCCCCCCTCCCCCGCTCTTGAGAGAGAGGGCAGGGGCGGGGTGGTAACTCGGGGTTTACGACCTTTTCCACTCACACATAAAATCTGTCAGCGCTCAGCCTGGAATCGTAAGCAAGACAAGTGAAACTTTCTAGGTTGCCATGGTTCTTTCCAAGGGGTGCGTTCGCAGCCAATGGGATACTCGGGCTACAGTTCCTGGAAAATGTCTTAAACAACCCCTAAAAGAAGCCTGCTTGCCTCGTGCGTTATATCAACTCTCCCACTGTTATGAGTGGAAATTGAGACTTTATGGAGTTTTTATATGCTGTAATATTTTTTTTCAAATAAATCTCTCCTATAAATCCAAAATAAACCCAAGACAGCTCCCCCCCTGCCCCAACGCCCTTATGTCTGGCCCGTGGCCT